TGTCCATTCTTCCTCCACATAGCAGGTTGGTTCTGCCCTTGCCTTGAATGAGTAAGACCTCTACTAATAAGTGAAGACCCCCTACTGCGCCCTATGTGTGGTACAATAGCATAACACTCTCGCAACACTCTGCAACCGTTTCATTGTAAATAAGGAAGGATAATTACGTGGTTTCTGTCCATATACTTTAGTGAAGGAGTTTTTTCGAGGACAAGTAGCCACGGAAAGTCGGATTAAAGAAGCTTCAGTGAAAGCCTTGGGTCCCTCATCTCGTTTAGGCATTTCTCCATTACAGGCAAAACCTGCACCTTCGGTGACCAGTCTGAACCGTGAACTGTCGACCGTGTCATATTCATACGCCCAACTGAACGCAATTCTTGGACCGTATACAATGCGTCGTCTGATTGCACAAACCAAGGTAGCCACATGGAAACAAATAATAGCAATAGAGCTTCAAGAACATTTTTGTAGTACAACATCCATATTCAGATGGAGTCCGACCTGAACAGAGGTGCGGGCAACGCAAGTAGAAACACTCAGGAGTGGCGGAATCAATTGAGAACTGCCTTAGAAACGGTGAGCATTTTCCGTCAGCATTCTAGAGAACGGTACTTGTCGTCTAAAAGAACTCTTCTAGGCTATTTCGGTTGTGAACGAGGGCTGCAATCTTTTTTGAGAGCAAAGTGCAACACAGTACAGTTTGTCTAATTTCATGTTCAGCAGGGTACCAGTTTTGCTGCGCACGCGTGATATGGCTTCTAGAAAAAAAAGGCTTTAATGAGAACATGCCTTATTTAGATTAGCCAAAACTTTCATCAAGAGTTCAGGTTACCGGTCTTCCACCGGCCGCGACGGAAACGCGTTTGCTTATTGTGGTCTCGCGCCGACGGCAGCAGTTAGCTTCAACCAAGAGTGTACTCTTCATTATTAGCACTGACTCATTGCCCCCCCCACTTTCAAGACGTGATATTCCGATCTACAAGGAACTCGGGCTGGTTGTGACGGATGCACTAGAATTAAAACACTCGGATACTCAACCTCTCTTACTCTTCTTGCCTAGGACTTTTAGCTATGGACTGTACAAATCGATAGTGAGATGCACGGTTGCCAGGCCTTCATAGCACGAGCCAAATGACCATATCCGTTTGAATCGTCATTGTGGAGCTTGTCGTTCGTAAAGGCCCTCCTTGGACTACAACTGTCAGCGGCGCGACGTCGCGCCTTTGTCCTTCTCGACAGCGTCCGCGGTCTTCATAATTCTGCTTAACGTTCATCGTGTACAGGCGCGACCCTGCTCAAACGATTGGAACCGTGTCCTTGCTCTAAGAATCTTAAGTTCATCCGGCGTGCGGACGTCTTTCTGACGGTCGTCCCGTGCTGTGTGGAAGCTGGGTTCTCAGTCCTGCGTAGAGTCTTGATTATACAATTATCCCCATATATAACTCCCTTATCCTTAAAGCAGATAGCCAGCCAGGCATTTGACATGGCACGAATACCGGTTTACTCGGGAAGTTATTCTGTCGTCTGGGACAACTTCATTTGTTCGTGTTTGAAAGAACACGACTAACATATTGTGTTTCAAACATGAAAATACTTCATCACAAGCATTGGGCCTCCTTCAGATTAAGTTGCAACAATGCAGGCACGCCTACCGGATTTAGATTCGAACTATACTTATACGAGGCCAGGGGCAGAAATAATAACACATTCGACGAAGTATCACGCAAAGTTTTCGCTACCCAAGATCCGATCCCCTGGCTCACGCACATCACCTTCATGTACACCAAAATATGAAGTCATCTCCAGTCGCAGCCTGACTGGAGAAGACCTTTGGAATTCATGTCACCTCCAAACAGCTGCGAAACTTCTAAATGGAATCACCCATGGAACATACTCGAGAACAGTACTCTCATACTGCGGATCCTCCAGCAGTGAGCCGCTCGACAACGTCGCCACTCTAGGACACTTCACCTGACATGGCCAAGGTGCGGCCGCGGTAGTATGGTATTGGAGCGGACGTACCTGGAATGGAAAGGCCATTTTTCTCGCGTGGACCCGGACTGAAGGTGAGCGCTGGCGGTTACATCGAGCAACTCGAGAAGAATATCCTCCCCACATGTCGTCGCCCGTACCTTCTTGGAAACTTTGTACTGCTACAGGATTGGGTGACACCACATGGAATCGAAGGGCGTTGGAAAAACTCTCGCCTACTTGGAATGGGCAGGACGTTGGAGCACCGATGAAGAGTAGAATATCTAACCAGTCACCCGGCTAAGCTCGCTTCAATTTACCGGGCCGGGAATAGTCGCAACAGGTGTCTACGAAGGCCGAGAGATCAACTGATCTCGCTGAACTCAGGTACCACTCACGTTCGGCTGCGAGAATCTCGATGGCCGCTCGTCCACTAGGCTGTGGCGTAGTTTCGTGATATTTAATGAGTGAGTTTATATCGCCTCGAAAGTCAAAGAAGAAAAGTGTCTTTTTTGCTCCCCCCCCCTCCTGTACATAGGAGCGAAACAAAAGGCGACAGTGACGTGGGCCCTGTAAGCGCCTCGAGCCAATCCTACTCATTTCTCATTACGCAATGCTATAGCGTTCCAACATCAATTTGTTACTGAAAGACCAACGACGGTCCAGTGCTCTGAAAGTTCCTGCGTGGTCCATGACAATGGGAATAGGGACTGTCCAGCCGACATGAATCCTATTTTTATCTCGTTTTCTATTTAGAAGTTCTGGAACATTTGGAGAAAATTCACTTCTATTTTCAGCTCTCTCAAGTTGACTCACATACTTTGGAGCAACAATACAGAAACGTAAGCGTTTGGTTTCATAGAAAGTATAGTTTCTTTCAACGGTAACGAAAGGGCTTAGTTCCCGAGTGAGGTGGTCCCAGCGTAGTAGTACCTAAAGTCCTCATAATAAATCAGAAAATGAGGCGGCTGACATTGAAAAGCACATTTCCACGACATCTCCACCCCTTCAGCTGAAATACTGAGCAACTGCACAATTGCTAGAAGAAGTAATGTATCGCTCTATTGCTGCACAAGGCATCTTAGAAAGAGGTTTTCAAGCCCAACCGCTGGTAATCTCATCCCTGATGAAAGTGCCAAATTCTGATGAACAGGGCCTGAATCGTCTTCTAATTAGCCGAATCCTGAATCAACATTCCATCCTTCCCGTCATTCTCTTTTTTAGCTTACTAGAATCGCTTTGAATGGACTGCAAGGGCTAGACAGGACGCCCTTCCTCTCTGGATCCGAAGGCACTAATGGATGACCAGGAAACGCAGGCACTCTGAACGGCTGTTAGCCGTTTACCATACAGTCGCCCACAGCGATCAAAGCGTGGCCTAATTAAGTAGTTTCTACAAGAAGTGGAGATACTTTTTTGTTTTGCACGAGTCAGACGAACAAATTCACGGTGGTCAACAGTCGCCTTTAAGTTCTAACAGAACGCAGAACCTATCTCTGACTTGGCCGGTTTCTTGCTGGCAGTGGACCGAGGATCTTCTGTGGAGCTCCTAAGCTGATTCTAGGGTTCCATCCTAGTTCTGGACGACTGCGATGTGAAGTCGAAGGCAGATCAGGACTACACTGCAGCCATGAAGTCTGTCTCAGCATGGCAGAGAGCGACCACATGTCCTGGGATTTTTTGAGGGATCCCGGTTGGAAGGTGATTTATTTCGTCGAGCAGACACTGCTCTTTAGGACTGCCTCAATTTTACCATCCGGTAAATCTCGCTTAAAAATATCCCATTATAAGCAGTATGAAAATCGAACTGTCATACTTCTTGCAAACATGGCCAACTTGCTCGGATAGGGATTGAACCATGAAACTAGTCAATAAGATTGTATAGGATGTTGGACAACAATTGTGAACACTTGTATAAGTGATTTTTGTTGATTGCGAAGTCATAAACGTATGCCTGTTAAAGTCTGATTTTCAGTTGGGTCCTCTGACTATTCAACAACCTGAACAAAAGGAAGAGACGGTGAGCACATCTCCAATGATTCAATGGCAGTGGGCACAATATTTGGAAATAGAGTATAAGTATGGTATTTATATGTACGTGAAACTGAGAACCGTATGCCTTCGAGGACGACGTTTTCTATGAATTGGCGAAATGGGCTCAAAGACGGACCGTACACCTATCTCCATGGGGAAAGCATCGAAAAGATTTAGGTCTTCTTGTACCTGGTGAGGATCTAGCAGCTGATAGTAGCATGGGTCAGGCGGTAAAGACTTGAATTAATGCAGCCTGGATGGAATGGGAGGAGTTCGCAAGCATCCTGTGCGATCGGCGGTGCTCGAGAACTCTCACGGCATGGTTTACCAGGCAGCGGTAAG